AAAAAAAAAAAGCCTCCTCTATAATATTCAAACCTACATTTCTCTTTAATCGCTAAGCCGCGAAGCATCCCTCTTGTATTACCCACACACACAAAACACATAGTTTAATCTGTTGTATCTGAACCGGTATCTTGTGAAGGTGTGTTGTTTCTTCCACTGTTCATGGATACTTGTATCTCACGTAGTTTATTTAATCCCTGTTCTGTTAAATGGAGTTTTTTTTGCACCATTTCTACAGCCTGCATAAAATATAAATAATCTAAATATTTATAACCTACTATGGGATGTTGTAAGTGTAAAAGAGGTAAGAATTTATCTTTTAAATCCGAAAAATTAGTAACTATGAAATCTACCCCTTCTCTATTTACAGCTATATAACCATATCCTAAATATTTTACGAAATATTCAAATAACTCTTTATCTCTTATGTGTTGACTTAGTACAAATTTTAACTGTACTTGATATCCTATTTTTACAGATGTAGATTTATGTATACTGAGGATAAAACAACCTTCCGCTGATATAAACCCTGCTAATCAACAAGGATCTATAATTAAATCTGGAGATAAAGTTGCATCAGATATTCCTAGTTCATTTGCTGGAACAAGATCAGGAAAGGCAGCTTTTAATTCACTAGTAAGACCTTTACCCATTAAAGCTTTTAGAGATACTAACTTTCGTAAACCTTCCTTTGTTAAGTGTTCTCTGTTTTTGATCAAGAAAATAGCTTTTTTAAAACATAGGAAGTCTTTACTTTTCTTGGTTATTAAGGGATACTTATCAAAATGTTCTATTAAAATCAATAATTCTTTTTTAGATTCCACGCGGAATTGTACTCCTTGTTTTCCTTGTGGATATATTTTTCCTATCCCTAGAGTAGATTGGATACTTCTTAATATATCTTCGTCTTTCTTATGTAACCCTATTGAAAATACATAGAGTACTCTTCCTTTTTTAGTCAGCATATCTATATCTCTAACACTTAATGAGAACGAACCTTCCCCATCAGCAAACCCTGTTATAAATCAAGGATTTAACTCTAAAGGGGTCTGTAGGCTACTTAAAGATTTCGTATGATATGGCCTTATTAAGAGACCATTTAATTGGTGAGGTTGGGATACATGGGATTGTAACAGAATATTGTTACGATTAGAGGAGGAGGATACACCTTCTGAGTCTAAATCAGAATAAATCTTAAGTAAATTTAGATTAAGATTCTTTACATCCACATAGCTTCTTTTTTTTTATGTAGAGTATACCTTAAGTAGTAATATTATTTACTCTAATACTACTACCAACTACCGTCTACTCGTTGCTCTTTTACAGTAATTATGTTACTGACTTAGATCCGCGATTGCCTATTTCTCCTTTAGTTTGTTTCTTTTTTTTGAAAAAAAAGAAACTAATACAATATAAAGGATCATCTTATGACTTATTACCATACATGAGTGATTAGTTCATCCACTAATAGTTTTTCAACTATTGCTTGGTATCAAAAAGCTTTAAGGGGTCCCCGGAATTTGGTAGTTTGATCCCAAAGAATGTGTTTTCAGGATTCTTACTAATAATAACTAATATACCTAATAAGATAGCAATAATGTACAATAAATCTAAATTAACTACATTATAACCACTAAATGTCATTTCATTAACTATATACAACATATAAAAATTTTCTTTACCCTTTTCATAACTATTATATAGCTATTATATAAGTCTATATTACGATTATATAAGTAAAATATACCTAGTCTATATTACTATTATAATAGCCATTAACAAATAATCATAACTATATAGTTATGAGGGATATACTGCCCTCTATAATTATTTGTAACATTGTTTGAAATAATTTAATGTGTTAAGAAATTAAACTCAAAAAGTAAAAGGCTCTTGGAATTCACTTAAACTGCAAAAATAGTAGACATAAGTATTTTATAAAGAATGCAAGCCTTTAAAATGAATCGAACATTTATCAGAATATTAACAGTATTCCGTTCTACCCATGATCTATAAAAACTATTAAATAATATATTTATAAAATTAACCACATAAGAATTATATTTATAACACAATATAAACATTTAATTATGTATTAGGAGACAAGAGATTCGAACTCTTAAAAGCGTAATACTATTGAGTTTACAGCTCAACCCTTCTTACCAATAAAGGAACTCTCCTTTTTTTAATGTAATTACTTATATTTAACACACCTTTTAAGTATGAAAAATTTATAAAAATTGTTCAGTATAATTACAAATAAAATATTACAATACTAGTCCCCTCTCCGAGGGTCCTTGACCTTTGGGGTTAATATTTTATTTTTTTTGCTTAAGTATAGGGGACTAGCCTAACTACTTAAGTCTAACCTTCGAAAGTTAGACCCGTTCAGATATTATGTCTTTAGCTAAGGGCGACTCTATTAATATATATCTCTCTATACTTATTTATACAAATTAATACATATTTATATTTTGGGATTAGCTCTGCTACGAGTTCTATCATATATTGATTAATTAGATCTGTAATTCATTTTAAAGATTTTCAACAAATCTCCTGTTAAATTAAGTCAAAAATGAGCGTAACCTCCCGGTAAGCTAATGTAATCGGAAAAATCTTCCAAACTCCCAAAATATAAAACGGAGGTTTCTCCTCCATAGTCGTCGAAAAATCCATGACCGATTTTTACCCTATACCCCCCCTTTTCTTGGGGCTGTTTGGACCCCCTCTCTCTCTCAGAGAGAGGGGGCCTAAAAAAAAATAAGGGACTAGTGTTGCAAGTACATATAAAATGGCTGTTTATAACCATAGTGTGCCTTCTGTTTTTACAAGGACTTTATATCTTTCCGTACAAATAGAGTAGCATACACCCTGCATCCGAAGACTCCTGTAATTTGTTTCTTTATAGTTAAAC